TACCTGCATTAAAACAAAAAACCGAACAACAACAACAAAAAAAAAAAAAAAACCACCAAAAAGCAAACAAAAAAAGCAGTTCTGCTTTTCTTTCAGGGATTTCACGTTTCTTGCACCTTACCTAAGCACATCTGTAATGCAGCAGGAGGTCTGGTTACAGTATTGGCTGGCATTCCTGATATACCTTGAATCAAATTAGCACAGTTATGGGTGACAGCAGAGATCTCCAGGTTCTCCTGGTTTTGATGAAAGTCTGGTTTCAGGTGCAACAGAGCTAATGCAATGCAGGTACAAGGATGAATTCCTGTTTCCTGTCTCTCTGCTCTTCTGCTCCCTTCTCCCCACCAAGTACATATTTTCAGGCATGGTGAACTATGTTCATTCTGCATGTCTTGTGATAACCTACCCTTAACAGCCACCACAGATGACTCCTTTTTGGATCACAGTCATCACCTGCAGGCAAGGATTTGCAAAACTTGCGTGGGGTGAAGCTGTGAGGCAGCCTACCAGACAGAGACGCAGGTCCAGGCTGTCTGGGTCTGTGTGATCACAGAGCAAGGCATGGAAACAGCAAAAAGCACCACCAGAGTTCCAGCTGTCTGAAAGCAGAGATACCTGAGACCAGGCTGACATCAGGTGCAGGTAAAATTAGGACAGAAGGTAGCTTCATTTCTGACAGCAACTTCTGAAGCCCTGAGAGTTTCTGTAATCTGAGTTAATTCACCTGGACGGAATTTACTCTTAAACCAATATACAATTTTGAGCAGAATTTTTCTTCATGCAAAAGTGAGGCACACCCTTCAGCATGTTTTTAAACACAGCCTGAAAAGATGACAACGACAGTGAAAGCTGACAAATGACCCTGAGCTGGGGGAGGAAGAGTGGAAGTGGACAGAGTAAACAGATCAGCCATCATGCTGTGATTGGGTTAAATTCGAGTTTAGGCAAAATACCCCTAGCTCTTGTTTTCCCCAGTGCAATGGGATGCCAGAAAATGGTATCACGATAATGCAGCCCTTTCTAAAAAAGGCCACGGAGCCAGACTGCTGACCATATTTAGCTCTACTAAGTTGCAATTGGCACCAGCAAGCCTTGGTTGTCACCCACTGACATTTTGTTCAGCCCTAAAAATGAAAACAGTTGCCTGCAATGTTTCAAGCCATGAGAGTCACTGAGGACTCACAGATGGGAAAGAGAAAGATAAGGCAAAGTATCAAGCTCATCATGATTTAGGATCTCAAGGCCACCACAGCCAAAAGGGTTGTTCTGTGTTTCTGAGGCGGTGAGAGGTGGCAGCAAGCAGCAGCAGGGTCACAAGGGATGTCTGCAGCCACGTGGGGTGAGCACCCACCAGGGAGGAGCAGCACCTGTCCCATCTGCACCCCTGAACCTCACTGGCATGGAGGAGACCTGTCCATACTCCCCATCAATACGAGGTGCTCACCATGGGAGTCCCTGTGAAATGCTTTGATGAGTCCGTGCCTGCAGTAAAGCTGCACTGCTCTCCTTTGCTTTGCCAGGTTTGGCTGAGGAAGGGTGCTCTGGGAGCTGTACCCTCAGGCTTACTCTTGGTGGCTGGTGGGACCTTTTCACGGTGCAGTGGAGAGATTGAAGTTTGGGAGTCTCCTGGGGGTCCCCAGGAGGAGGGCAGGCACCTTTGCCCAGCTGCTCAAGTGTGGGCCATCCCCACTTCCCTCTCCTTGTGTCCACCCTGCCTGGACAGATCTGAAAACCACCACTGCTGTCTGTGCCAGCTGCTGCGTCCAGTGACAGTGGGAACTGGGTGACAATTCCAACTGCAGAAACCACAAACTGGTGTGGGCACTAAGGGGAGTTAGGTTGTCAAGGGCAAACCTCCATCAGAGAGCAGCAGGGAGCTGACACAGGGCTGGGGAAGGGGTTTGATCTTTTCCTCTCATGCAGGGGGCACAAGGTGCTGTTGGTTCTGCCTCTCCCCTTGTCTGCAAAATATCACTCCAGGAGTGACAGAGTTAACAAATACAGTGGAGGAGACAGCTCTGTAAGCTGAGCTACATGGTCACATGCACAGGTTTTATTTTTAACATCCCAAAACTACTTGATGTTTCTGCCTGGGCTTGTTCCGTGTCCTTCTGCTCTCTTCTCTTTCTTTGTGTGCAGTTCTCCCTCACCCACCTCACTTCAGCCCAGCTGAGCACAACCAGGAGAGAAGTGTTTGGTGCGTGCACAGGGACTCTATGATCAAGGTAAGGCTTTGTAAATAGAGTTGGAGGGTTTTTTGGACAAACCTTGATGGAATGTAATGGTTACTATAGCAAGCTATGAAAATCAAGACATCTTCAAAACAGCCTTAGTAATTAATATGAAATAGAATAATCATGAGATGTCTTAAATGACACTCTAAAACAGAGGCAGCTGGTAACTGTGAGCACTTCTGTGACATACTACTCTAAAAAAAAAAAAAACCTCCATAATATATTCAGTGAATTAGCTGTAGTTTGCAGCACTGTATGCAGGATTTAAAAAACTAAAATGCTGATTGTAAGATGGGAGCTTCAGCAGCAGATCAGATGATAAATCAAAAATTCAGTTTCTGTTATTTTCAGGAAACTCAGAGAATACAAGAATATACAGTAAGGGTCAGAGGAAAGGCAAGAGCAATTTATGGCAAAAGTGCTTATACTTAAAATTAAATGAGTGTTGTAGATTGAGACTGCAAACTTTATGATGGAAATCAAGACTGAATGAATGATGGAGTAAGAATTGCAAGAGTTAAAGGTACTACTGTACCATTTAGTCTTGTGACTGCTTAGCAATTTTTATTCATTAATCTCTTTTATTTTTATTTTATGACTTAGATCTTAACCAGTAGCTCTGAGATTCTTTATACTGGGCACCTTTCAGAAAAGTATGTTAATGAGATTGTTACCAGAGCATAAAACAGAACCCGAGCCCAAAGAGATAAAAACCATGGTTTGGACCATTACCCTCCTTTTTATTTTCCTTAAACTGCAACCAAACTGGACCTATTCTTTTAAGGCACTTGTTGAACTCAGACCAAGAACAAACCCATTTCCTAGTTACCAATGCAAAGTGAAATTTTGCTTGACTGTGTCTACCAAGGACAGCACAGGGATCCCTGACAGGTCTGGGGAGCAGCAGAGCAGCTCCATGTCACAGCCTGCTGATCTGCCTGTCTCCCACAGGACTCCCCAGCAAGCCCAGCACATGATGCTGGTGCTGAGCTATCCTGCACTATGCCACCAGCCCAGGGCACCATTTCAGCACCTGGAATTTTTGGGTGGGATTCTCTCAGATGAGCTATGGCTACATTGCACCAGGTGGGGAGGAGCAAGAAACATTGCTGATCCAGGTGTTTTAGTGGGGAGTGCAGTGCAGGGTTCCCACCAGCAGTGCCCTGTGTTACCTGTGCCTCACTACTCTGAAGTCTCCCTGCTCCTCCTGTAACAGCTTTAGTGCATTTCACCAGAAAGAAATTGCACAAGCAAATTTTGGTGCCACTTTACTGCCTCTGTGCAGCACAGATTTTCCAGGCAAGGAGGAGGCCTGATGGTGCAACAGCTTCTCTTGATCTCCATGGTCCTGCATGTCAGGTGTAGGGAGCTGAGGAGAAGCTGATGTGCTGTTCTGAGAACCTGAGCAACAGGCATGCTACAGAAGAAAGGCAAAGGACATGAATTGAAGTCCTTACCCAACTGCTGCACTATACTGTGGATTTATTTTTTCAGTATAAAGCAATTCCAACCTGTTCAGCAACTCTGAAACAGTGTTTATTGCCATGAAACACCACAGCCTCATCCACATCATCCCCAGGTAGGAAATACAGGCAGCAGCTCCCTAATTGTCACAGCTTCATCCTTCCATTGTTGGGCTTATCCATCAAGTCAGTTGTTTCACAGAAAATCTTACTCCTCCTCATGTCTTATGCTAAGGATTTGAAGTTCATCAGAATTGCTCTGGAATCAAAGTGCTCCTGTAAAATCCAAGTGAACTTATTCAAGGTCACCTCAAAAGCAGGTCTTGTTTATGCTCACTATTAGTGTTATTGATGAAGATTTCATCTGCACCTTTAATTCTCCCTTTCCACCTGCCCTGAGCTGTACCATACTCACAGCCTGCCTCACTTAAAGCTTGGTTGGCAGTGAGTATTGTACAAGGTCAGTCTGAAATGGCAACTGCAGAACAGGACTGCCATCAAGAACAGTGACCCACTGTACTGAGTGCCAAGGGGGTCACCCAAGCTGTAGCTGACCCTGCTGTGGGTGTTGAGGTGTGGAGTTCGATTTATTTAGAGGTCCCCATGATTCCAGGTGGCATTCTTGGATTTGCTTTTTATTTTGTGTCTAAGGAGAGGACTTAAGAAAACTTGGGCTCCTGGGATTCATGTACAAATGCAATGCACTATGGTTTTCAATGGCATAGTGATTTTGTTCTCAACTCTAAGAAATAAAAATATCTATTTAGCAAAAAGGGACCCAAGCCTGATTTCTTGACAAGGTTGATAAGCAAGTAGTGATTGAGGAAGAGCAGTGCATGAAAGGAAAAGAAAATCACTAGTTAAAGAAGACTTACTTGGTGTCCTAGAAAATGTGATTCTATAGCTGGCTCTGCCAAAGTTTTTGTGCAAGAGGCATGCAACTGCAAGTGAAACATAAAAACCTGAGCATCTCTATGCTTGGCACCTTTGCTTGGCATTTACATATTTGTGTGAAATACCATATTTAATTCTATATATTTTTATCTTTCTAAACTTTATTTCTACATCTGCCAAATAGAAGCAATAGTATTTTTCAACCTCAAGTGCTTCTCTAGTATTGCAAAGATAAATTGTGAATATGATCAGATCTAAGATAGTAAATATACTGACATGATAATTCTTATATGGTAAGACAATTCCCCTCAAGATTTTAGTATAATAAAGATGAGATAAATGCTATATACTGGGTAACAAGAGTTAAAAGGAATAGAGAACATTGCCCATCTGCCCCATACACTTCACCAAAAGGATTCACATTCCTTCTGTTGAAACATTATGTATAACTTCAGCATTCTTGGCTCCAGCATTTGGAGGTGAACTTTTGTGAGATTTTTTTAGGAGCTTGTTATCATGTTGTAAAATTTAGAAATTTTGCAATCTCATCTCAGAGGCACTCTTTAGGGTCATTTTCTGGGTTTCTGGTGGCCCTTTGTGATGCTTCTTCAAACTGGGAGGTATCCCTTGATTCTGTGCAAAGAGCTCAGGTAAAATGTATGACCTTAGTATGTCAAATGGTCAATCACATGCCAAATGAGAAAAAACTTGTGTTATTTTGGCTCGTTGACTGCAAATTAATTAAATGTCTCCTGAAAATAAATTTCAATTGGTTTATAAACTGTAAGTTATTATCACTGAACAGCCCCACTCCAGACACAGACATAGTTGCAGTTAAAATAGCAGCTGTATATTTTTAAACCTTACTTGATCTGCTGTCATTATGGTCTAAAAATATTTACCAAAGCGGACAGACTATGGACTGTAATGTGCATTCTTTCCTTACACAGTAGCTTGAACATGATTGAAGTAATCATTTCTGGTTTGTTTGGATTTTTTGTTTCCTAACCCAGACCTGGAGAAATTTTGCAAGTTGCAAGGAATCAAATGTACAAGTTTAGAGAAATGTTTTGTCACCTGACTTGTCTGTGTGTCACCTGCCTCTGGATGTTACGTATCAAACCTACTGAGGCAAAAATTGTAAACTTTCTGCTGAGTGTTTTGAGTTTGCAGTTGGTGTACTTGCAATAATACCATCAACTAAACCACAGCCAACTAAATTATCAATTAAAATACAGAGCTCCTAATTACTGGCATGTCAGAATAGAAGAAGCATTCAAACCCTGATAAATATCAGAAAGAAACACTCTGTCCCTTCTTCCTGTCCCCTATGTTCACAGATTTGACAATGAGAAGAGAGGAATAGATATCTTTTGTCTGAAAAGAACAGCATATACAAGTTAGAGATGAGGTAAACTAAACTAAAAAATGCCTGAATAACGAGGAAGACTGATTCTGCATCTGAATGCTGTGATAGGTTCACTTTTCATAAATAAAGCATGTATTTTCTTTCTCTTCACATGATTTGGACAGGGTTTATTTCAGCATACAGCAATGTGAAAGCAAGCTTCTCTGCCATCAGTCCTTTCTGTGTTTTGGAGAACAAGAAGGCCTATGCCTCTAATGTAGGGGGTTTTTTTAATCAACTATTTCTCCCCAAGAGTTACTTTTGCAGTGGAAAGTATTGTTCATACAGTCATGTTTTTATTGCAGTGTAATGTACCCAGCCTTTCCTCTGACCTTATGCAAGTCATGGCTGGGACTATTTTTAGAGATTATATTTGCAGCAAAATGCTACAAGAATGAGAGCAGCAAGGATGCCGCCGGTGTGAAATAAATCCGTCTGTATCTCCTGCTTCTCTGAATCACATAAATTAGATGTAACTAAGCAGCCTAAAGCAGGACAGGTGCCACCCCAAACCACATGTATTTAAGGGCTTGGTGTGGTTGAGGTCACCCTGGCTAGCACCCTGGCATCACCTCTGCGCAGAAGCCAGCATTTCCTAAGGCAAGGCAGGGATGTTATAATGGGAAGTCACAATGTTTTATTTTCTGCCTTGCTGTCTTGAGCTCTTTGCTTACAAAGGTGATGGTACCTTATACTTGAGAGTTCAAGTTTGTCTCTGAGTAAAGGGACCATCAAGGGTGTGTGTTCCTTTACTCTGCAGGCCCAAGAGGGAATGGGGTTGATTCACTAGGAGGGCAAGCAGGTATTGATCAGCACTGGAAATTGCAAAAGATGGAACAAAGTTGTGTTGAGCAATTAATGCACATCAAATTTTCAAATATGAGTGTTGGCATTTAGTGCAGAGACCCACAAACATTGCCTTTCCCAGACATCTTTCATTCTCCAGTATTGTTCATGACTTCCGTGCCAGGGTGTAAAGGTGTGAAAGATATGAAGTTAAGAGAACACCTTCAAGAAAGAGAGGAAGTTCTTCATGTAGAATCTCTTCCCCCAAGCCTGAGCCCACTTCCTCTGCAGCTCACCTCTCCCCAGAGCTAGGTCACTTAACCCTGGGTTTGCAAAAGAAAACATATCTAGATAAACACTACTTTTCTTGAACTTGTTTTCTTTAACCTAAAAAAAATAATACAAAGTCTAAATTATTTTACTACCAATTCCTGTCTTTTCTCAGAGCCTAGTGAGGGTCTGCTGGGCCTGTGGTAGTTCTTACTGCATGAAATGGCAGGGGAGGAGGAAGATTTGTCAATTTTTTTTCCTATTTTCACATAAAAAAGAAAAGCACCCTGGGTCCTGTTTGAAAACAAAACTCGAGTTCCCCCTTATTGTTAGCTTCTTTCTTTCCACAAAGATTCACAGTGATTCCAGAACCAGGCTGGAATGCAGCTCCTATAGTAAGGAGCAGGAAGTGAAAAGCTGGGAGGTTTCTACTTGCAGCAGATCTTCTATGGGCCAAGTTACTGACAGCAGTTGAAGGTATCCGGGGAAGTAGTGGCTGAGCAGCCTCTAGTTCTGTAAGCCAACAATTGGAGTTTGAGGGTAAATCAGGAAAGCAGAGTAGAAAGGCCAAGGAAACTAGGTGTTATCCAGGCTGTTTTCCACACTGGAATAATCCTGAAGATAATCCTCACTCTTGACCTTGGTGGTGTAGAGCAAAGGGAGGTTCACTGTGCAACATTCATGTCTTTGTGGGGAGATGAGAAGAGGCCTAGGCCAAATCTAGAGAGGAAAAGGAATGTCATTTTTCCTATTCATTGTTGAGGAAGTGGGATGCTCCTTCACTGTGCCCCTAGCAGTCTTGATTTCAGCAGCCTAGTGAAATGCTGGGACAGAAAACAGCTCATACCCTGGCTGCCCGGGCTAAGGAGTAAAGACCTTGTGTGTGTCTGTGCTCTACCAGGCCAGGCTGTACCGTGAGGCTCAGGGGTGATACGTGACTGCACGGAGCTGGCAGTCACTTTCTCACAGCCTCATCCCCACCAGAAGTGCATGTTCACACCTCATGTGTGAAAACCAGCTATGGGCATGGAGGGTCTGTGGCTCTTCTCATTCCTTCAGACAATCACTCTTGTCTCTTTGTCTTTGCCACTCACAGCACCGGGCCCAGAAAGCTCCCCCTGGGCAACACAGGCACTGTGAGCGATGTTTCAGCCGGCACTGCCGCGCACCCATTGAGATCTCCGTGTCCTGCATGGTGATCAGCTGCCACCTCCACTGCGGGGCCACCTTCCACATGTGCAAGGAGGAGGAGCACAAATTGCTCTGCCCCTTGGAGCAGGTGTCCTGCCTCAACTCAGCCTATGGCTGCCCTTTCTCCATGGCCCGCTTCAAGCTGGGGAAGCACCTCCAGGTCTGCCCAGCCAGCGTTGTCTGCTGCTCGATGGAGTGGAACCGCTGGCCAAACGTGGATTCAGACACAACACTGCACAAGAATATCATGAAAGAGACCTTGACTGAAGAGTGTCTGGACACAGCTTTGGCACTCAGAGACCAGAAGATACTTTTCAGGGCTTTGAAAGTAGCTGAATTATTTCCAGAGTGGAGGAAGAAGGATGAACTGGAAGAACTAATGGATCAGATCATGGGTGGGGAAGCAGGTGCTGTGGGAGGAGCTGCCTGTGGTTCCCAAGAGGGCAATGACCAGTGTGAGCTTAGCCAACGTGAGCGGGAAGATTTGGCAAAGGACAAAGAGGGAATGGATCTGGGGAGTTACAAAACATGGGAGAACATTTTCAGCAAAGAGCTTCTGGCTTGCCAGGTAACAGGCTCAGCAACGAGCACAGGACAAAAGACGGAGGAGGCGTCCAAAAAGACAGCGGCAGCTTCTCATGCTGCCAACTCCACAGAGAAGGCAAAGGAAGGACCTGATGGTGCAGAAGCAGGAAAGGGCCAAAAGTCTGAACAAGTAACACCGAGTAGAGAACTGAATGGACTGGCTCCCTGGCAAGAAGGGGTCCTGGAGAGGCTGAAGAAGGAAGTCGGTGTAGCAGATTACAACATGTATCTGGTCCATCACGGGGGAATGCTCATCCGCTTTGGCCAGATGGCTGCTTGCACTCCCAGAGAAAAAGATTTTGTCTATGGGAACTTGGAAGCCCAGGAGGTGAAGACGGTTTACACCTTCAAAGTGCCAGTGAGTTACTGTGGCAAAAGAGCACGACTAGGAGATGCACTGGGCCACAAGATGCCAACTTCAGACAAGTCAGTGGATACCTCAGAACTGGGAATAAACATAGAAGATCTACCTAAGACAAATATAGTCGAAGCCACACTGCTGTGTGCTCTGGAGAAAGAGCTGAAAGGCCATGAGATCTCTGAAGCAAGAGGGATCGATGGACTCTTTGTGGATTTTGCGACTCAGACATACAGCTTTCCTTTGGAGCCCTTCTCCTCCAGCGCAGTTTTAGCAGATATTCTGGATGAAAACAGCCCACCAGAGCTGCACATGGAGCTCTACACTGAATGTGTAACCAGAAGACACAACAAAAGCAGTTCAGCTTTCACGTTCACTTGCAGTCATTTCTTTAGGAGGGATGAGTTCCCATTCCACTTCAAGAATGTGCATGCTGATATCCAGTCGTGCCTGGACGGATGGTTCCAGCACCGCTGCCCACTGGCCTACTTGGGATGTCCTTTTGTCCAAAATCACTTCCGCCCCGAGGGACTTAAGGCCAAGGTTATTTACAGCAAGCCTCTCAAGACATTTGCTATTAAGCCAGAGGTGGACACCCTTCTTGCTGAACCAGGCAAGTGCAACTTCATAGTGGATAGTCGAGGGAGAAGCAAGGACTTGCTGAGCAGCCTCCCAGTGGAAGTGCTCAAGTACATTGCAGGATTCCTGGACAGCTTCAGTTTGTCTCAGCTATCACAAGTGTCAGTGCTCATGAGGGACATCTGTGCCACTCTTCTTCAAGAGAGGGGAATGGTCCTGCTGGTCTGGGAGAAAAAAAGATATTCCCACGGTGGTGCTTCTTGGAGAGCTCGCAAAAAGGCAAGTGACTGTGACACTGGGAAAAAGAGTCATGAGTTCGCTTCAGATAAAATATGGGAATGAAAAGAAAAGCTGCATCTAAACATGCAGATGTGGAGAAGGTTCATGAGGTTGTGAATTTGCACAGGGGTTTGTTGTCAGGGCCCAGGGCTGTAGGGTGCAGTACATCTAACAAAAGGATGAAGGTGTAACTAGACATTTTCTGGAAGTCCCCACCCAAGCTCATCTTGGGTAACCCCTTTGCATGTTCACCATTTCTAGGCACTGAGAACTAAAAATTCCTGATATTTAAGTACTACCATCCCCATTAAAAATGGCAGGTGATAACTAAAGCAGCAAAACCAGCAAGTACGAGGTACATAACAATACAGACCCCATTTTCACTTGCTATGCCAGCCCTGCACCATCAGACGTTCATTGCAGTGTCCAGAGTGAGCAATGCACACCCATTGTAAGCATAGACAGGCATTTAAAATCCTCATTTCTCTCCCCAATTCCTGTCCCCTCTCTTGCATTAGGTCTGGCAGTTCAGCAGCCTGTTCTCCAGAGTTCACAACTGGCAGCGCAGCGATGTCCCAAGCATGTCGGAGCACCTGAGGAATTGTCCCTTCTACCAGGCGGAGCACAGGACAGACCCCGTGCTGCTGACGGGCATGAGCGAGTCTCGGGAGCAGACTCGAAAGACTTTGGTCTCTACTTTCAAGCACAGAGTCTGAACAAGTTGCTTCCCCTCTGCCATGCTCCCTTCAGGGCTCTGAGATGAAGATTTGGGGATTCAGGTGTAGAGACTGTTGCTTCCAGCTCTCCTTTGGACGTACAAAATTGGTTTCTCCCCAGCTGCATTTGAAACCTCTGCATTTTTTTCCCTACATTAATTTTGTTAAAGCTTCGACCACTGCTTACTAACTTCACATGCTTTCTATTTTCTGTTCCTGGTTTAATACAGCATCCTGAAGAAAGCAATGAGGATCTTGTTTGAATACAGCATTTTTACATCCTTGAAGGTAGGCTGCTGCTCCTTTACCATGTGCCTGAGATAAGCAAGAGCGGTTAAAGTACTTAGCTCAAATAGATCTGAAACACCTTAGTTTTGTCTGGAAAGCCAAGTTCTTGGAGCACAAGTAGATGCCTTCCTGCCTGGCAGACCTAGGGCCTGCTTACCTGCTCTGAGACATGGTAAAAGACACCCCAAAATTACATGAATTAATTAGAACTCCAGTGAGAACTTGGGAATTCACTGCACAGCCATAGACCATCATTTAGGACCCTGACTAAGGCAAGCACACCTAGCTGAGTGCAAGCCTAAAGCTGAGCTCATAGGAGCATTGAAACCAAACCAAAGCAAGCAAACTTGTTCTTTGTTAGAAGTAACCAAGTGGCAAATAATTTCGGAGACTCAATTGACTTTTTATATTTTAAGGTAACAACTTTCTGTGTTTTATCTAAAAATTCATTAAAGCCATTAAAGAATATTTGAAGTCATTTTCAGAACACCTTACCAACTCAGTTTTGCAGTTGTAAATTGCAAATTCTAATTGTAAGCAACTGAAAACAAGATGTCAAGGAAATAATATTCTTTCCCATAAAAGAAAAGTAATTCAATAACCCATTCAGTAACAGTATGGATAATGTTTGCTTCAGTTGAATGGTCTGGAGCATAGAATCTTTTTTTACAGAGCAGAAAAGTGATTAGAATTTGGGTTATCTTCTAATAAATACGGTAACTTAAACCAGAATGGGCTTGTTGAGGCAACAGATGAGAGAAAACAGGCATGTTACCAGCAGTGTCTGTCTCAGTACACTGCTTGAAACCATTCCAGTGGTGCTAGTCAGAAATGCCATGGATGTGATGGTGGGTGAGATTCCTCTGGAACAGCCATAAATTTATTTGTCATCTTAGGACAGTCTCCAGCCACGGCACAGCCACAGGGTGCTGACTCACCCCCTTTCTTTTTTAAGTTCGTAGCCAGAAGTGTGAGCTCAGGACTGAGGTCTGGCTTTCATCCCTCTGTCTCAGACAGGAGAACCTTGCTGGGAGCTGGGATATTTGCTGGCCTGGACCACTGCTTCTCTCCCCTGGGCTGGCCAGGTGCAAGCTGGCTCAGGCAGATGGATGGAAATGTGCTGCCTTTGCCATCCTTGACCTGGTGCAGATGTGGGATGAGGTGGCCATGCAAGAAGGAGCCCTCTCTTACCCAGCGAGGTTTCTGATGCACCTGAGCTGAGTGCTTGGTAACCAAAGGCATGAATTGCATGGTGGCCCAAACCACCCTGAGTACAGCTCAGCCTTGCCTACACTTGCGGCTTAAGTGGTCCCTGTGAGATTTTTAACCATGTGAGAATGTTTTCCATCTCCAGACACACACCCTCAGGAGCACACAGTCTGAGCTGTGAGGACAGTGGAATGGTCCCAGGAGCAGGAAGAGCAACAGTTATTTTTTATTTTTTATTTTTTATCTTTTTCTTTTCCTTTTTTCTTTTTTCTTTTTCTTCCTTTTTCTTTCTCTTTTTCTTTTTTTCTTCTTTTTTTAATGCTACTCTATTTTCTGCCCCTAGAGATCCTTTTTGGGAAGTCTCATAATGCTTTAGATATGAAAATAAACTTCTCTGCACAGGTATCCTGCAGAAAATACAAGTAGCATCCCAGGTTTATGAAGAGGAAATGGAAGGAAATGAATATAGGGAATCTAAGCTGGGCCAGGAGCAGTTAGAACCACTCTGATCCTTCATCCTGAGGCTTAAGCCACTGCACAAAAACAAACTGTCCATCCATTAAAGCTGCTTATAAAAACTCACCTGCCCTCAAAACATTCCATAACATGAGCTGCCCAATATTATCTCCTTGTTTTACCTAGCAAAGTTGACAGATATTAAAACATACAGCCAGGATTCCTAGACTTCCTATGTCTCTAGGAATTCCTGAGACTTAGAATTCCTGGGTCTCAACATCAGGGCCTCATTCTTCCCTTACCATGTATCTGATTTTGAAAGATGCTAGCACCCAACTGCAGCTGCAGACCACAATATCTGCAAATGCATGTCCAAAACTTGGGTGCCAGAATCAATGCTGGGAGCTTGAAAATGGAGCCACTTACTTTTATGGATAATTTGGGGAGGTGGAAGAAAGGTTGTTTAAATAATAAGGTCTCAGAGTAAGCCAGTGTTCAAGGCTGGCAGGAGACCATGAAAAATTTCAGCCTGTGAACAACCTCTCACATGATCAGCTGTAAAGTGCTGTGGCTGCCCTGAAATTTTGGCCTATGTTAGGTGTGAATTTGGCTCATTTTACCTTTAGTGGCAATGTCACCCCCACCGCTGCCATTCTGCTCCTGGTTGCCTTCTGTCAGTTCAGGGGATTTTGTTCTTGTCACTCCCTGCTCCTGGAGATGGCACAACTTCAGTTCCAGCCTTATTAAAATGAATCCTGCTCATTCCCTCCACAGAGGGTGCATGAGTCAGACTTCAGGGGGATGCAGCCTTTGGAATTGCAATGGTTGAGGTCAGAGTTAGGAATATTGCAACCTCTACCTCATGGGATCAGCCAGGGTGTGCATAGAACATCCAGGAAACTGGATCATTTCCCTTCTGGCTCATTTCCCTTCTTCCCTACAGGGCATTCTGGAGAGACACAGAGTGCTCATTCATAGAGAGACATATTTGCTCCTGTGAATATATGGGTATATTTCTGAAAAACTGTAAATTTGATTAAGTAACCTTCAGCATATCCAGTCAAAGCTGAAAATCCACAGGCAAAATCTTCAGGTTAGTCTGGTCAACCTGATCTGGGAGAGGCAAAGCTGTACAGGGAAGGGGAGATCACGCTTGCATTTCTGCACAGCCAGCTGGCCAATATCAGCAGGGAGCTGCTTCTCACTTCATCCCAGCCTAACCGGGGTTGGAGAGCTGTGGGCTGGTGTCAGATGCAGTTTTATTCATCTCAGGGTCATGCCAAGCCAGCTCAGTGTTGGTGGTCCTGCCATTAGCAGAGTCAGCAGAAGATTTTGGAGCTGAAAGGAACTGAATTTTCCTGCACTGTGTGTCTTGGTGAGCACAATGCTGGTTTATTTAAAAGGTGAGAGGCTTTAGTTTGGGTTAAGCAAGTCCTTAGCTCCTGGTCTGAGTTTGTAATTTGGCAAAGAAAACTTTGGTTAAATCTCAGCTTGAGTAATTTGATTAGAAGAAACTGAGCATGTGGTGTCTTTCAAAATAGTCTATTGTTTTGGCAGGGTCTAAACTGGAAAAGGGGATCCAATTCCAGCAGAGCATTGAGGTTGCTCTCAGTCCAGCCCCCACACTCTGGATCTTCATGACTTTGATCTTGTTTGTGCTGTCCACAAGTCCTGTGAAGTGCAAGAACAATACTCCACACGCTCCAGGCTGATGTGTCTTGCAGTGTTTCCTCTCACTGGAAAATTGGAAGTGAAATGAAGGCATCGTGGATATCAGAAAGGTCAGAGCAGGGCAAAAACCTCATGACAAGAGAAGACAGGCACCAGAAAAGGTACTGGGTTTGGATAGAGAGAGCTGCCTCTTTGGAGGTGGTGTGAGGAGAGGCAAGAGGAGACAGGTGAAAGGGCACAGGAATGAAAGGAGTTGGGATGTGCTGCCCAAACCAGAGGTTTTCTGGACAGAAGCATTTCCTTGAGAAAGACTCTGGAAGTTCCCAACTGGTGCAATACAGTGACATGGGGCAGAAGATAATTTTTAAGGGGTGAAAGGGCAAGTGACCTGCTGACATGTATCCTAAGTCTGGGTTGAGGGAGGGAATTTTCTGATGGACCTCCAACTCCCAAAACTGAGAGAGCACAGATAAGGTGAAGTTTATCTGAACAGTGCCTGTTATTTTGGGAAACTGTAACTCCTTGTTGCATTCTTAGGAATAAAAATTATTATGGTATAAAAAAATCCATTCAAATTCAGGTCTTAGTTTGTTTTCTTGACTTCATCACATAAATGTATGTTTTGCTTTCAAATGAGGCTTGGCAGTTCCTGTAGTCTCATATTCATTATGCTCCTTCCTCTGCTCTGCTCTTCACTATCATTTTCTTGGTTGAAGACTTTTATTTATATATGTTTTATATTTATTTAATTTTAACAAATTTTTTTAGGTTTGACCTCATCTTCTTTGCACAGCCACTTTCTCCTTCCTGGTTCAGTTATTTACTTAAATGAAAAACTATATCTTCTTTTAAAAATCCATTTTCCAGATTGATGCTACAGTATGTCTACAAACATATGAAGAAAATTTTTCTCCTTACCCTTCACCTTGTGGCTGTTCATCCAGGTAGCTACAGAGGGGCTTTTTCTTCTTTGCTTTGCATGTTTCAGAGACACTGCACATCTCTGTCAGAAATTCTGAGCATCTTTCACATACAGTTTCCTTACCACTGCATTCCACACTAAAGAGTCTCAAATTCCTTGGGGTTTAATTTCTTTTGAAACAAAACATGCATAAGCAGTGCAGCCTTATTCTTATTTATCTTCCCACTGAATTTATATGTAAGGAAATTATGATCACACACTCCAAATTTATTTTTGATGGCCACCTGCTCTATGACTTAATTGCTATTTACAGCTAACAAATCTTTTGTGAGTTCAGTGATGGTTTGGTGAAGGAATTTGTCATGTCATGCTGAGAATCACAGGCCTGAGGCCCATAATGATGATGAGAGATGATTCACTGGTCCATAACTCTGAAGTTATTTTCCCCATGTTAGCAGAGCCCTTACTGGGATTTATCTCTTTTAATATTTGATCTCTCCTTACATATCCAGGTATGAACTGGAGCAGTTCATGGCTGACACTGAGCTGCACCAGAGAAAAGCCTCTTTTGTCTTTCTGAGTTCCATCTAAACAACCTGTGACATCATACCTGTGGTATTAATTTCCTTTCTACCAGCCCTGAACAGCAGAATTTTTAACACCCGGGATGACTGTTAAGCTACCATGTTGCTGGTACTTGCCTGGTACCTAGCTTACACCCTATATTGTTTCCTGCCAATATCTGGAAGGTGGTTACAAAGATAATGGAGCAAAGGTCTTCTCTGTAGTAGCAGGTGATGTATCAAGGGACAGTGGCAACAAAATGAAACTTTGCAGGTTGACGCTGAACCTCAGGAAAGACTTTTTTACCAGAAGGGCAAAAAAGCAGCACTGGAACAGGTCCTCAGAGAGGTGGCATTATTTCCATGCTTGGAGGGTTTCCAGATTTGGTTGGACAAAATTATGGTGACCTGAGTGAGTCAGAGGTTGGATCAGAGACCCCTGGAGGTCTCCTCCCAGCATCACTTCTCTGATTCCACAGCAATGCTTGAGATTCCCTCGGTGCCACCCTGGCTCACCTGCTTCCCTTGGCTGAACTAGATGGTCCTCTGGCTGCTGCTTTTGTCTGCTGCTGCTTCTCTCATCACAAGGAGTGTATTCTTTCCCCTTGATGTCTAGGCCTCTGCTCATTGATACCTCTTATCTGTCATCACATAGTGATTTTACAGGTTTTCATCTCCCTGAGTAGGAAAACAGATCCCCAGCACTCTCCCAGCAGCTGCAGCACCACTGAATGGCTCCCTTGAACTTGATGCCTTCATGGTAAAGCTGTGCTTTGTTGGAATGTGTGGGTGCCCCTCTGAGAGCATGGATAATGCTGGACAATAACCTGTAGGGCCAGGGGAGCTCAGGTGAGTGCATATCAGACTGGCAGGGACTCACAGGGTCCTTCGTAGGTGGGTGTGTGATCTTACCCTGAAGAGGCAGAGGGAGCACCAGGCAGAGCAGCTGCCCATGGTCTGACAGCTCATGGCTCCTAAGCACAGCTTCTGCAGGAAGAGTTCATATTCCTTGTGAGGCTTTTCCCAGCAGGACTGAACTGGTGGGTGAGGATGGGACTGGGATGCAGAGGGTAAGGCTGTATCCAGACCTCTGAGCTGTGTCTGGTGCTTATCATGGTTTCCTGCAGGTGTGTATCCATGATTTCAGCTGGCCACAGCGAGGGTGAGCTCTGTTACTGTGAGGAGAGGAAACAGACCAGCAGAGAAGCAGCCAACTTCTCCCCATGTGTTTGAAAGACAGAGAAAAGGCAGCAGTTAAACACCCTCAGAGCTCATCCATTTCCTTTCTCACAGCTTATTTTAACCCCAGTGATGTTTCTTCCTGCAAAGCTAGGGCTGAATTGGCAGCTGCTGGTGGCACTACACTCCCATCTTCTCTCCAGCTGAAGAAGGTTTTGCAGGGAAAAAAAAGGAAAAGGAAAAGGAAAAGGAAAAGGAAAAGAAAAAGAAAAAGAAAAGGAAAAAGAAAAAGAAAAAGAAAAAGAAAAAGAAAAAGAAAAAGAAAAAGAAAAAGAAAAAGAAAAAGAAAAAGAAAAAGAAAAAGAAAAAGAAAAAGAAAAAGAAAAAGAAAAAGAAACCCACTCTGGCCTCCAAGTCATTTCACAAAGATAAAGTAGTCTAACAAGCAAATATGCAGAGAGGTGACTGCTTTCAAACACTGCAGTCTGGGAAGGGTTCCTCGAGCCCAGTGGTTGTGCCTCATTTCTTTGCTGCCTCCCCACTCCCAAGCTTGGTGCAGGAAGAGTTAATAGGTTTAAATGTAGGGAGTTTTTTTTCCCTGTAGCTTTGTCAGAGTGAAAGTGAAACAGCTCTGGCAGCCAGTGTGGGGCTTCTCCTGCACCCCACCCCTGTAGTGAAGGTCACCCAGTGAAAACAGGGTCCTCCCAAATGTGAATGCTCTTCCAGAGGGGAAAATGGTTCAGGGTGAGAGGGATCCTCTGACAGTCAGTATCCATCCCCCATGCAGAATCCCTGCTGTGTATGGTCTAGGGTGGGGAGGAGGTGGATCCTGAGATCCCCAACACAGCTTTCAGCAGGCTGGTGAGGGCCCTGCCTTCCATCCTGGCTCATGGTCACTCTGTGGCTCTCCAGCAGGGTCAGCACTGCCCTGCTGCTCAGAAAAACCCACTGCAGCAGCCAAGGAGGCAACACTGCTGACTACAGGGGACCAGGTGGGCAAAAGTCCATGTGGCTGTATCAAAGCTGCTAGGAAGTGGGGACCCATCCCTTGGCTGCAGGGACTGAGCCTGGGAGACAAGAGATGCAGCCTTTGTTTGTGTGTCCACCCTGCAGCACCAGGCCCAGCAATCACCCAGCTGTGTTTGGCCAGTGAGGATGGAAGTGCCTGGGGACAATCAGAGTGCCCTGTCCTCAGGCACTGACACTGCCCTGCTCCCTCCTACCACTGCTCCCAACACCCATAGTCACAGCTGCCCAACTTCTTTCCCTTGTCACAGACTTTTGTACTGTGCTATCAATAAATCAATTCCCTGTTTACCTTCTCCAGAACTTCCTAGAGATCATGTCAGTGATCTCCATTTGAGCAGTGGCACCATTTGAGAGAGATGTGGAGACTAGTCTGACCTGCCCCAACACAGAAATTCCTCTCCCAAACACACATTTCTCCAGGCATTGGCAAAGCTGAGATGGCCCCTCCAGCATCACTCCTGCCTCAGCAGCAGCTCAGTCCCAACACAGGCACAGCCACCTAGAGCTGCCCTGGCAGAGCCCAGCTCTGGGAGTGCCCATCTCAAGGCACCAGGCAGGTGTCAGGGGCAGAGGGACAAGTCCTTCATCCTGACCAGACCTCCTCACACCTCATCTACCCAGCTTGGGGATCAAAGCCTCTGAGTCACTCCACTTCTTCCCGGCTCCCCATGCTTTCTTTCTAGTATGCTGTCACACCCATTCTCTCTGCCCTCCTCTATCCTTTCACTTCTTCAACTTTTATTTGACTCCCTGAGGTTCTGAGGGAGCAAACAGCTCATTTCCTTCAGGGGAAAAGTGATTTTATGACTGAAGGTGAAGCAACAGAACAAAAGTCTGTAGCAAGTGCACAGGCACAAGAAAGCAGCCATGCTCCAAGGAGTTGGGCACACAGCTGGACCCAATGTTCAGCTGGAGGCTGAAGCTACTGGAGAGCTCTAGCAAAAAATGCTTCCCCCTGTTGGAGCTGCTGGGGCTCACACTCTCCTTGCGGATGTCACATCGCTCCTGTGTCACATCGCTCCTGCGTCTCCCTGTGACCCAGCAGGGAACAGCAAGCCATACCTGCAGTTTTACGAGTTATGACACATCAGTGCAGCCAGCACACCCGGCCCTGGGTCTGTGTGCCTTTGGCTCACCTGTTTCCTGTCACTTGTGTGACAAGAGCAGCACACGGCCAGCTGCTGTGTTGTTCAGCCGGGACAACTCATTGGGTACTCTGCTGCTCCAGGCAACACAACATCACTGACCCTTCTCCTCCTCTGCAGAGCAAGGGATATCCCAAGGACAGGAGGGAGATGTTATTGCTGCTGTCTTCATCACTGAGCTCAGGAGAGGAACAGGTGGGAGTTTTAAAGGCTGAGCCTCTTCCCTTGCGGTTTAGATGCAGAGAAGAGCATCTGCCTCTCCCCTGCACTGCTGCTGAAGAGAGATGGAGAGAGGATATCCCAGAGTCCTGCAGGGAGAGGCAGGGAGTGGAAGAGCTGGAGACTCATTTCTGGTGGTGATGTTTTGCACTGCTTTGGTCTTACTGCATTTTACCTCTTTTATTGTTTCTCTCACCTTTTCAGATAATCCAAAGCCTCAGCAACGTCAAAGGGCTTCAGAATAGAGGACACCTTAGTGCCACTCACCTGCAGTGCTTTGCCTCCTTTCCCTTGACACATCCTGCTCAGAAAAGCCAGCCCTGTCCAAATATTAACAGAGTGCTTGGTTGCTGTGGGAGGGGGAGGGCTGCCCTTGGTGGAGGAGCTGAGTGAGTGTTCAGGGATGGACTCACAGAAAAACACATCTTCATCCAGGGAGGGCAGCCTGGGCAGCCTCAGCTCTGCTGCATGGCTGTGTTACAGGCAACAGGCACACACTTTGAGAAATGCCTCTTCTCTGGTTGCAGAGAAAAATACATCGCATAGAGGTGTGTCTGTACAGCTGCATGTGTGATGTGGAAATGCAGGTACCTGCATGTATGTGTACATGTTGTAAGTAGATATACTACAAGTATGTAGATGTGTACCTGCAGATGTATAGAAGTTAATGCCTACAAGCCATTAACCAAGATCTTTGTGTATTTATGCATTTTATGTGTGAGGCTGAATGTATAGGTAGGCAAAAATTGGTATTTCAAAACAGTAAATCCTCAAGCAGGGGAAGTTATGGGTTAAACTGATGGCAAATCAAGCATTCAGAAAAATAGGACTCCCCAGGAGAAAGCTGCAATACATTTTTTATTAATAGACATTTCACTGCTGAGAGTTTACGAGATGAAGGAGATCTGTGTCTCTGTAGCTGTGAAAAAAAAGACAAAATTCAGCCCTTTTCTGGCCTAACAGGGAATTTGAAGGTTAAAGCTTAGAAATCTTGTATAAAACCAACAGGAGAGAAAAAAAAAAGCAGAAGGAAGGGGTATGGAAAGGAGGTATATGGCACACAATAAAAGTGAGAATTTATGAAGCATACAAGGTGATAAGGAGCGTTCAAAATAATCTGGAAAAACTGGATTGCTGCAAGTGCTAACAGCACTTGGAAGCAGTTTTTTTCAATATACATTGAAAACTAAGAAATAGCAGTGAGAGCTTAGGCTCCTACTGGGTGCATATAGGTAAAACTGTTGACAGTGATGACTTTTGATGGAGGCTTTTTGATACAGAAAAGTTAGTTGTCTGCATACAAAAATAAATGGATTTGTGTATTCACGCTACAGGAGGATGGTAAAAAACTCCTTCATCTTTCTGCAAACCAAGGAAAGTTTTAACAGCATCTATTAAGCATAAGTATTTTCAGATCAGTAGCCAAGCAAATTTGCATGTCAAAATCATAGAAGAATTTGACTGAGGAGGCACCTCGCCCAATGAAGTTTGGTATTTAAAAATCCTGATGTACTAGAGAAATCCCAAGGTCATGGAAAAACAGGTGCCAGTGTCCAGAGACAGAAAGTGAGATGACACCTGACTGTTAGATGGTTCTGTTGTAATAATCATAGGTAAGAGAGTGTGAAGTTATTACAAGTTAGCTAACAGATGCTCCAACAATTAAAATAATTTTCATAATTCAGTATTGAAAAAAAAAAAGTTGTGAGAAGGAAACCTGACTTCATTATTTGACAAAATAATACAATTGGTTGATGAAAGCACTGGTGCAAAAAATCAAGAAACTTGTAAATTCTTAAGAAAAAATGAGTAGCATCTGTATACATCACAATTTGCACTACAGGGATTAATTAGCAGCTAACAGGCAAAACTTCTTGTCCAAAATGAATCACTGCTGAAAATGTCTGTCTCTCTGCAAGAACGGTGCTGTTTAATAATTGCACCAGGAGATACAACTGTAAAAACCACTGTTGATAAAATTTGCCAATGTCAAGGTCAGTAGCTAAAGGAAAGGGAGTCCTTCAGATGAGCACGAGTCACCTGGCCAGGTGAACATCCTCAGCCAGACAGGATGCTCAGGGGTGTTGGTGGAGTCTCCTCAGGTCCTGCACCACCACGCTCCTCCAATGCTGTTGATCCCTGAATCCCTCTGAATTGTCTGACCTGTGGGAACACCTGAGAGTGACCAGGGGCAGAGTGTAACTGCTGGAAGAAGCAGTTTTTGCTCAGATCCTTTCCTCTTCCCTTTTGATGCTGCTGTTCTGGCTCGGGACTCATGGAAAATTCATGGACGGCCTCGGAGTCGGACAGCCCGGCCAGGCCCAGGCAGGTGTGTGACCGCTGGCTGCTGCACAGACAGCGAGGAAGGACAAGCTGCCAAGAGAGGAGCCTCGCTGGCAGCCGCTGGAGAAGTCACCGTCACCTGTGATGGCCAGTGCGGAGCTGAAAGCCCAGCAGGGCCTGCAGCTGCAGCACCCACCCACAAAGCTGCCACCCACACGGGCCCTTGCTATCCCCAAAGCCTGGAGAGGGCCCCAAGCAAAAGGACAGGAGCAATTTGGAAGGTCAGACAACGCCTGACAGGGGACACTCTGAGCCATTGCTCTGGTCTAGCTAAACCAGAACCTCTCAATCACAGCAGAGAGAACACAGAGTGCGGGGGCACCATCGCCTGCAGAGAATCAACCACTGCGAGTTTAACGCAGGCACGTTCAGAGCAGAATAAGACAGCACATCCCCAACAGTGAGGGTGACTGTCCTAGCTAGCAGGCAGTCAGAGGGGTAGACTGTCTTTCAAGGTATCCAAATAAAGGTCAGCATAGTTTTTTCAAGCTGTCCTTTCATAACAATAGTAAAATAAAATAAAAATTCATTACATCAGTGAAAAGAGGCACTGGGTAAAATTCCAAGGCCTGTGTTACGTCGGAAATGAGAGCTGGCAGTTTGTCTGCCTTTTTGGCCCATAAACTGACTTGGAAGGAAGGAAAAATAATGGAGCTATGGAAGAAATGCATTAAGACTGGCCATATTCCTCATAAGGAGAAATATACTGTGGCATTTGATTTTATTTGACTACCTGCTTTCTGATACTCCCCACTAGAGTCTGCAATTACTGCATCCCTGAAAGTCTCAGGCTGGTTCTAAATCACAAAAACAAGTGAAGTAGATACTCTGAAGCAGAAAAAAAGTAATACTCACTGATAAACAAGGTGACCTTGTGCTTAACAGCAATATTCATTCCACTTTAAATATAAAACACTTATTACAGAAAATGTCACTGAGACTAAGAGTGCATCAAATATAAACTTGATTGCATCAAGAAGACAGGGATAAATAATATTAGTCCTTCTGCTTCTCTGGGAGACAGCCACGCTGCCTTCCAAGGTCAAATGTGCCGTGGCCAAGTGCCACATGGCATCACTGCCTGGCCACGTGGATCGAGGAGCAGGAATCTGGTCATCATCTGATTAGCTGCTGGGCACACCAGCCCCTTGTAAGGCACACTGTGTCAGTACAAATAAATATTAAACTTAGGCATTTAAAACTAATTCTTTAGTAGAATTGTTGGATATAAGATACAAAATTTTATACGTGATTTGTCAACCCGCAAAACAAAAGATTAAGTTCTTTGCACTTGAGCCAACAAAGATTACTTGGAGGCTGTGGCTGTATTGTTTTGTGGATATGGACAAGCCAGAAAGTCTAAGGTAGCATTAAAAGAGCAGATATTTTTCAAAGAATAAAGCAAAGCTCAGGATTATATTTTCCCCATAGGTTCCACTTGTTTGATTATGCCTCTGCTCATTCAATTTTAGTTAGCAAAATAGATTCAGCAGTTTAACTACGTTGGTTTAGAAGCACTTTATGAACAGAGCTGAAGCTCAGCTGCCTCCAAGAAAGCATGCACTGACCAGAGGTAAATCATTTAAATATACTATGTTTGCTTCAACCTCACATTATATCACAGCCACACATTCTGCAGTGCTTCCAAAGCTCTGGGCTTGGTTTCTCCAGCACAGGTACAGCAGCACAGGAACATGGCAGACACAAGAACAGGAGAGACCACTCAAACCCTCCATGTCAGAGTGCTGGCCCCCACCAGCCACGCACCTGCCACCTCTGTGACTCTGGAATTCAGTGTATGTGCACCACAGGAAAGACACAGCTTACCAAGGATTGCTTTTTAAGCCTAGAGATGTCACTCCAGGAACACATGAGAATGCTGGATGGAGCTCTGAGCAACCTGGCCCAGTGAAAGGTGACCCTGCCCAATGGGCTGGAACTAGATAATCTGTAAGGTCCCTGACAAACCATTCTCTGATTCTTGGCATCTCTGAAAATGTCCAAAGCCTTGAGAGTTGTGCTCACCTTCACATGTAATTGCCAAGTTCATCACAGATCAGACTGCAAAGAACCCTTTATTGGGTCTGAAGGGTTACAAGGATACAACTCCCTGAGGAGTGCAAAATGCTGACCAAAGACACGTCCTCACCAGTGCTGCATGTTTGCCTCTCCTGGTGACACCAATCTTCTCATTGAACACTCTGTCTGACGTGTCCTTCACCTGAACTTCAGTAACATGAGCACTGATAAGCTACAATGGACAACGTGCCTGTAACATTTCCTATTCTCTGTCTCTCAAAAAACCCACAAACAAACAGAAACCACACACACACACACACACAAAAGAACAAAAGGAGAAAGAAGAAAAGGGAAAAGGATCAGTCTTTTTGTTTCTCAAGGCCTCCAGCTCTGAATGGTGTCCCAGACAAAACACAGGACTCATGCTTCCCTCCAGAGCATGATGTGTAACATTAAGTCAGTCTAGCTCCCACCCACTGCAAAAACATGCTCCTCCTCCCAGGTCAGTTGAAAATTTCACTTCTCCCAGCACACCCAGGTGGGTTCCCATGCATTTCCTTCAATGAGTGATGAGCAGATGCTGAAAAGTGGCAGATATTCTCTACGGATGGAAAATTATCTGAGAAGTTCAAAAGCCCATATGGAGTGGAGAGGGCTGATTTCAGGCTCCAGCACCAGCAGCAGTTGGCAGCAGCCCCTGGAGAGGAGATAGCAGAGGAATGGAGACCATCCCCACCCATGCCCCAGGAAGGTGGCAGCATGGGGAGCTCCTTCTCCTGACTCAGGAAAGGAGAAAGGAGAGGAAAGAGACACGAACACATCCCTCTGTCGCTGCTGCTGTCCCCTTCACCAGGAGCTTTCACCAGGCTCAAAGCACCCGACCACCACATCCCTTATGTCCTGCAGCAAGAGCCAACCACTCCTCAGTCCTGGCTGGCTGCACTACCACAGGCAGCATTCATCCAAGCATGCATGCAAACCTTCAGGAGGTGGACCAGAGCACACATCCTGTCAGGTTGGCAGAGGACAGCATGGATGTCCTGCTGGGGACAGAGGCACCATGGAGTGGTGTGCCAGGCTGCTCCAGACCCTCTTAGTCTCTAGCTGTACTAATCTCTCATCTTTTTATTCATGTTATCTTCATCTGAAGCCCAAACAAGCCCCAGAAACTGTTTCACCACCTGCCCCTGGCCAAACTGGGGCATCACATTCAGCCCTTTCCCCTCCTCAGGTCCCACACCGGAGGTAAACATGGGGTTACACACTGCTTGGAGCAGTTTCAGCCATTTTACTCCGGAGATCCTTTAAGACTCTTGGACAAGTGCCATTGCTCCCGGCAGGTTGTTACTGTTTGCTTTGTCAGTGTGTGGAGCAGCCTTTTCCGCAGCCCTTCGGTTTCAGACACGTTCGCTGGCAGACCCCACCCTGCTGAAGAATGGGTTCTGCCACCCTGATCTCATCACTCAGCACTTCACACAGGCTGCAGAGGTGTCTGTGATGGCCTTATCTCTGCTGGGCACTCCCTGCCCAGCCTGATCACTGTTTTGCCCTTCAGAACATCTGGCAGGTGCCCGATGTGTTTCAAGAGAGATCTGTTAGTTTTGATTCCTTTTGTTAGCCCTTCCTTGTTTGACCTGACTTGCTGCCTTTCCATATGCAACATTACAAAGTTTCTCTAGTTTTCCAGTTGTAGACAACCCCAGAAGCTTGTTGGAACTTCCCTTACCCCACTGGACAATTGTTTCTGTAGCCCACAAGAAAAGGTGCTCACCCCGTTTTTCAGCCCATGAGAGTGCCCAGTTACCAAGGATGGCAAAGCGTGACAGGAGGGAATTCTGGTGATGGAAATGTGAAATGGACACTCAGCAGAAAGCAGTTGTGGCAGGTGCTGTTAAAGTCATCAGTGCTGGGCACTGGAATGTCACAGAGAGAGGAGTAAGAGGGAACAGAACACTGCCCCAGCAGGGACAGCGGTGTGGTGACAAGAGGAGGGAAAAGGGGTTAGGGACAAATGAAGGGAAGTGGCAGAGGGATGTGTGGGGTGGTAACACTGATTTCCCACCATATCCAGGTGCAGCTTGCAGAGAAGGAGGGCACAACTTTCTTTTCTTTTTCAGTTCTACTATTGTCCTTTCCATTCAGCTCCCTCTCCTTCCCTTGTTTTCAACCCTACTTTTTATAATTTTATTTTCCATCTTTTAAAAAGAGTTCTGAAGCCCTGTGTTTGTTTAGTATTGGCTTCTTTACAAATTGCTGGTTTTCCCTTCTTTAATATTTCTGTACATACCTAAATCATCCTCACAGACCCATCCTCCCATGAAATAACATTAACATCTTAATAAGTCCTTATAATGAAAGATCATTTGCCTCAGCTGATAAACACGCATATTCTCATACCAGGAGCAAATACTTTGACATTCTTTACTGGCAGGGGATATGAAAGACAAAAAGCCAGAGACACCTTGAAGTAGACAATTTTTCAAGGTACAGAGGAAGATTCTTTCTCTAAAAAAACAATCTGTGTGTCTCACTTGATGAAAACCCCTTCCCAACCCCAAAATTCACCCAGAAGTACAAATTTCTTGGTAGGTGAGATGTATTTGAGACAGCTGAAATCTTGATATAGAGTTAAAAGAAGAAATGGCAGAATGGGGCAGTGACCATAATGAAGAAATCTCACTCTTCTCAATATCACTGGAAGTAGTCACATGGCTTGACTAAGATTCACGTTTTGTTGGCCAAACTTTTCTGCTTAAAAGAAAGAATGAAACAAACAAACAAAAAATTTAATATATGAATCC